ACCTAAAATGATAGAAGCTGGTCGAATAAATTATATTACAGGATCGCAGAAGTTAAAACCAGAATGTATTGCAGATTACAACATCAAGATGTGTTCTGTGAACCGTGTTGATATGGTTTTAAGCACACTTAATTCATCTAGAAAATATCTAAAATGGTATAAGAAATTTTTTTCCATTTATTAGACATCTCATTATAATTCATATGTCCTGAGTGTTACTGGCAAAAAACTAAAATATAACGATTTCCACCTATCACTGATAAAACAAATTCTGCAAAAATATCCGCAAAATAGGAAACAAGCGGGTGGTGGGAAAAGGAAACACAGAAAATTTACCATTTCATCTGACGGCGAGACATTTCCCTTCGAAAATTTTAAATGCAGCAGGCAACATAACAAGAAGAAAATGTGTTGTCTGCAGGAAATACAAAAAAAAAGGAGTGATAGCCCATATGAATGTAAAAAATGCGACATCGGATTGTGTGTTGATAATTGCTTTGAGATTTACCATACGCAAATGAACTATTAATTTTCTTATTGTTCTTCTTTCTTAAAATATATGTATTCGAAATCTATAGTTTTTGTATGTGTACAGAGTTTTTATATTACGGTTATTATATGTAGGTAGTATTTATATAATCATTCCTATGATTTGTTTAATTTTTCAAATCTTAATATTCAAATATATTATAATTATCAAATTATGGCGTTTTAAAAACTTTAACAATGGTGAATAAATAGTACATATAAAATAAAAAATGTTTGGATTCGTTTTGGGACAGACAAAGTAATAGTAATTGGATTGTGTACTATATTATAAAGTATAAGAAGCGGAGCGCTTCAACTTAGAACAGCTAGCAGTCAAAGGATTAAAGACAGCAATGGAACAAAAATAGCGAAATAGCGAATCGAAAGAGCGTTGTGTTTCATCAAAACAATGGCCTCATGTGTCTTTGATAACTCGACAAAAGTTTTTGGAGCTCAGTTGGGATGTTCTACCCCATCCACCATATTCACCAGATCTCGCGCCCTTTGATTTCCATCTATTTCGATCATTACAAAATTCCTTTAATGGAAAAAACTTCAACTGTTTGGTCGAGATAAAAAATCACGTAGAAAAGTTTTTCGCTGAAAAACCTGCGAGATTCTGGAAAGACGAAATTTTCAAGTTGCCTGAAAGATGGAGAGAGGTTGTACAACAAAATGGCACCCATATAATTTAATAAATGTATACTAAAATTTAAATCATTTCAATTTTCCTTCAAAATCGGCACGAATTTTCCGGACCTTCCTTGTAGCGTGAAAGTTCAAGCGTGTAGCTGTGACAAATACATATTTATATTTAGAAGTTTTTTTTATAGCTTTCCTTCTTGTTTAAACCTTGTTAACTTATGTGGGTAATGCGGATAGCGGCGTATCGACTTTATCTACAACAGCACCTACAACCTTGTAGCGACATCTATTTCTCAACCGTTTCGTCGAAGAGTTCATTTCCGATAAATTTACGGCGCCAACTGTATGAAACTCGAAGAAATTACCAAGGAATTGTTTAACAAGTATCAAGGAAACATAACAAATTATCGAGGATATAAATAGTAGTTGTTAAAGAATATCGACAGTCAAAAGTATACAGTCTAAAGTTATTATTAAATAATCAATTAAAAGTGTATAAATAGTTAATTATAATTTTTATTGTTCATGTAAATAATAGTGTTGAATAATAGTTATTAAAAAATAACAATAAAGTATATAGTTATTAGTTATATTTGTAGTACTGTAAATTTATCATTTATCGACCATCGTACCTACAACTTTTTCATTACTATGGCCATCTGCCTGCACATGCTCTCTGTGTTCTGTCTATAGTATTCAGTCACTGCAAAAGTTCGTGCCCAATTCCGATAGGTGTCACTATATTATGTTCTTTTGTAGGTGGTTGTCAAGGAGATTCAACAAGTCTGCGAGGCTATAAATAAGAGTTGCGGATGGACAGACAGAATATATAGAACGTTAAATATTTAATATTGTATATCGTATATTCCAAAGTTTAAAGTGTATAAATAATTCATTAATTAATTTTATTATAAAAAATATTATTAAATAATTGCTATTAAATAAAAAATATTAATAGTAACGAATTATCTAGTTATTTTTGTAGTACGGTGAATCTCTAATTTATCGGACATCGTTACTACAAAATTGGTGACCTCGACGTGATTTGAAAAGAGAAATGATAATAAGATTTTTTTTTTTTT